CAATGCCCCGTGTTTTCTCTCCATCAGTCTCTCCACCTCATGGAACACTGGCCCACCCCCAGACTCCCCGAGTGCTGGCAGCCACAAGTTCAAACTGCAGTAGAAAATCAGCTGATTTCTCCTTGTTTTGTGTATCAATCCCAGGCTCAGGAAACACGCCTGTGCAGGACTCAGGACTTTTCCTGTAAATCAGAAGGAGTCTGGGGACAGAGAATTAGCTCCCAACACCCACCACCCATGCCCAGTATGTTGATTCACCAAGTTAGTGAGGAACTCAGTCCCATATTAAGGAGCAGGAAACAACTCCCATTGCCACCTACTGTGAGCCTGGCCACATGGCTCTGACATAACTTACCGCCCCCAGTGAATGCTGAGCAAAGCCTTGTGCAGAGACCTGATTACTTAAGAAGCTCTGCCCCACTGGAAGGTCAGGTCTGGCTGGCTGCAACCCTGGGCTCTGAAGCTATAATCACAAATGTGTGTGTCTGTGCTTTTTATTTAACATCAGCATTGATGTCCTCACCCTGCACTCCACCCTGTACTCAGACCCCAGCAATTCCACGGTGGGGAAAGGCCCGAGCCCTCCTCAGGAACTCTGCGAATTCCTGGCACTCGTGCCCACGTGCCTCCCACTACTATGTCCCTTAATGGTTCATTTTTGTCCCTCCTCTGTCCTGGCAGAATTAAAGTTCACTTTTTTTCTCTTGTAAATAAATCTCACAGCAAGCGCTTTGTGAGTTAAATCACTCTGATGAAGATCTGGGGCAGAGCGGTCCGCCGTCTCGGTCTCGGGTGTGTGGCCGTCCCTTTGCTTCTCTTCCCTGCCTTCTCTGGGCTCAGAGATCCTGGTTTTCAGTCCTGTGTTACATGCAGCAACTCAGTTCACCACAGGTTGGCCTCCCAAATGTGCATAACCAAACCTAGTACGGTTTTCAGAAGTTCATGGGCCGTTCCTTTTTTTTTTTTTTTAAGGATTTATTATTTCTTTCTGGGTGTGCTGGATTTTCGTTGCTCTGCGCGCGCTTCCTCTCGTTGCGGAGAGTGGCAGCTGCTCTTTCGCTGCGGTACTCGGGTTTCTCACTGCGGTGGCGTCTCTTGTTGCAGAGCGCAGGCTCTAGGCATGCCAGCTTATTCAATAGCTGTGGCACACGTGCTTAGCTACCCTGCGGCATGTGGGATCCTAGTCTCTGGACCAGGGATCAAACCCATGTCCCCTGCATGGGCAGATGAATTTTTTTAACAACTGGAGCACTAGGGAAGACCCTGGGCCTTTCCTTTTATTAGGACCTATTTACTCTCTTTAGAAGGTGCTGGGGGTTAAAATACTCTTTTTCCTGATACATTAAACTGGGAGCATCCTACAGATGCTTTTTCTCACTAGTAATATATCACTATTACACTTTTATGACTACAGATATGCTCAACATCAGTTCTAATGGCTGTATAGTATTTCATTCTATAGACTCACCATGATTTATTAATCAAGCCCCTTTTATTGAATCCATCTGTTATTTTGAAATTTCCCATGATTATGACTAATGATGCAGTAGTTATTTTTTTGTATGTCACAGAACCCCTAAGATCATGACCACTGAGGGCTATCCTAGTACAATCACAGGTAACAGGCAAGGATCTAGCTAATTATCCCAGCTCTGTTTATAGAATAAACATCCATCCTTTCCCTCACCCCGTTATTAAGTGTCATTTGGATCACATTCTAAATAATTACATACATATCTGGATCTGAGTATGGGGTTTCTCAGGCTTCTCTGGTGGCTCAGTGGTAAAGAATCTGCCTGCAATGCAGGCGACAGTGGTTTGATCCCTGGGTTGGAAGGATCCCCTGGAGAAGGAAATGGCAACCCAGTCTGGTACTCCTGCCTGGAAAATCCCATGGACAGAAGAACCTGTCAGGGTGTAGTTCATGGGGTTGCAAAAGAGTCATACACAACTTAGTGATTAAACAACAACTGGGCTTTCTTATTTCAATCTATCTGTTTTGTGTGTGTGTGTATGTGTGAGAACTGAAATGTTTGTTTTAGAAGTCTGAATACTGGCAATATATAGTTCAACATTCCACTGTATTTTCTAGACTGTTCTCATCTGTTCGTTTTTTTTGGATAACTTGGGAAACACTTTATCAAAGTGTCTTGCCCACATACCAGTTAAATTTCAGGTTTGGCTTGAAATTGTAGAAATAGATGAATTATTTGAGATTATATTAGTTATGCATTGCTGCATGACACATTACCCCAAAGTTTAGCAGCTTGAAATAGCACTTATACATCTCACACTCTGTCTGAGGGTCAGGAAACTAGGAACAGCTTGGCCGGGGGAAGCTAGCTCAGGATCTCTCATCAGGTTGCAGTGAAACTGTTGGCTGGGGCTGCAGTCTTATCTGACCAGATCCTCCGCCACTCATGTAACTGTTGGCAGGAGACTTCAGTTCCTTGACATGGAGGTTTTGTAACATGGTCTCCCCACAGTGAATGCTGAGAGAGACAGAAGAAAAGAGAGAGGAAGGGAGAGGACCCGAAGGTGAAGCAGAAAAATCTTTTATAACCTAATCTCAGAAGTGACAGATGATCACTTCTGGCGCATGCTATTATTGATCACACAGACCAAGCCTGGTATGTGTGAGAGAGGCCACCCAAAGTCACAGATACCAGGTGTCTGGGATCATTAAGAACCATCTTGAAGGCTAACTGATACAGAGGTGAACTGAACATGTTACGGTATTGCAGCTTTTCAACTGTGAACGTAGGGTGTCCCTATACCAACTTAAATCCTCGGTGTGCCCTCAGCAAGGATTTTTACTTTTTTTCACATAGATCCACACAATGTTTGTTAAATTTATTCTCAGTGTTTCACATGTGGTTCCTATTGTGAACTGGATGTCTTTCATATTGTATTTTCTAAGTGGCTGTTGCACTCATACAGGGACCCTATTGATTTTTATGGCCATTATTTTTCAGGGGAGCTTAACGGGTAACAAAGCAGAAATTCCTCTAGACTGTCACTGAGCCTTTGGATCACAAAACAGAGACCAGATAAGATCCTAAATGTGTGCTTGGGACCAGTTTCCCCAAGTGACTGTGCGCCTGGGAGGTGGGAGGAGAAGGTAAGGAAGGCCTTCCCGCAGTCTGTCTTTATGTGGTGCTCAGGGCTTCCTGAAGTCAAGATGATGGGGTTCCCTGACCATGACTTGACCCTGCCTTTATTTATTTTTTTTTTTTTGACCCTGCCTTTAAGAGAGCCCTGTGGTCAGGGCCTTGGGGGATAGCCAGGGCAAGTGGCCAGTCCACCTAATGCCCTAGAGACTTAGCCCATCTGCCCATGACTTCCAGGTATGAATCTCCAATAGCATCTCCCCAGAGCCCTGTTCTGCAGCGTTTGCACAGCCTCTGGTCAATTCCCACATGAATGTTCCATCATCCATTCTCATTTCTAGTAGCTATGGTGTTTATCTAGCACCTGCTGCACACCCAGCACTGGGGATCAGCAAAGCACCCGTCCTTGTAATGCTTGTTACAAGTGGGGAGAGAGAGACCACACCAAACCAATTGTAAAATAGTCTCTTACAGAGTAAGTGATACGAGAATAAATAGAGCAGAATAAGGGAGGCTTCCCCGTTGGCTAAGCCGTAAAGTTTCCACCTGCAGTGCAGGAGATGCAGTACACTGGTTTGATCTCTGGGTTGGGAAGATCTCCTGGAGGAGGAAGTGGCAACCCACTCCAGTATTGTTAACTGGGAAATCTCATGGACAGAGGAGCCTGGTAAGCTACAGTCCATGGGGTCACAAAGAGTCGGACATGACTGAGCATACAGGCAACCAAGGAGGGATGTGGAATATAGAGGAGCTAAAAGTTTGAGTAAAGACTTGAGGGGGGTGAAGGAGCTAGCTGGGCCCTGGGCAGAGGGAACAGCCAGTATAAGGGAGGGAGTGTGTATCTGTGGAAAGGTAGAATGGGAGTGGTGGTTAACAGGGACTTTGCAGGGGGGGGGGGGGGGGGGGGCGGGTAGCTGGGAGGAGGCAGAGTCTGTAAGCCTTGGACTTTGAGTGACACAGGAGCCACTGCAGGCTTTCAAGTAGAGCAGTGACGTGATCTACACTTTAAAACGATTTTAGCTGTAAGCAGATACCTGATAGGAAACTCTGGGATAAGGAAATGCCCTCTCTTGCGCCCTTGGTCTCCACTGGCCATGCTGCTACAGTCCTCACCACCTCCCTCCTAGACTTTGGCCAGAGTCCACTGACTTCTCCCAACCTCCTGCTCTTCTGTCTCAGAGAACTGTCTCTAAGCCCTTATGCAACTTAGGAACCTCTGGTGACAGGAAGGATTATCCCTGCCAAGGTTCTAGCCTTCCTGCTAGGAAGGTCTGGCTTTGTCTGCATGTCCCTCTTTGGGGGTGGGTGCCAGTGTGGACAAGACTGTGCATGTCCTGTCCCGTGTCCAGAGGCCAGTTTTCTTGGGTCACATTTTAGCCCTTCTGAAATATATTTATTTCATTCATAAGAATTATCTATCTTACCCACTGTATAAAGCAATACAGAACGGCCTAAAGTGAGCTTCCTCCCCCTTCCAACAAGAAAGCAAGAAACCATGTGTGTCTTCTTTCATATTCTTCCTTCGTTTATACGAAAACAATCAAACATAGAATTTTAAAAATGGATTGCACCATGCACAATCCTCTGAGTGTCACCTTTCCATTCTTCTGCCCTGGACATATTCCTCGGCCAAAGCAGACATATAGACTCCATTCTTTGTGACAAGTGTCAGTGTTCCTCATTAGGCCACTCCCCACCCCAGTGAGGGACATTCGGGTGGTTTCCAGTTACTTGCGTAAGAACATTGCCTCAGTGCACCCTGCCCCCAGAGAGAACTGCGTTAGCATGCAAAGTTAAACACATCACATCAGCCGATGAAAAATGAAAACAAAATAAAACCAGTTGGAAGGCGGTAAAGGGCCATGTGTAAATACCCCTGGAACTCCTCACCTTGTTCGTTTCCAGTCGCTGGGCGCTGCCTCGGCCGCAACTGCCACAAGGTCCTTTGGTCTGCGCTGCCTCCGCCTTGGCGTCCGGGCCCTGGACCGCCGTCGTGTACTGTCGCACCGCGCCAGCGGCGGGAAGGGGTCCGCCTGCGCGCAGATCCTGGGGCGTCCCGGCGCGCTTGGCCGGCGCTAGCTCCTTGTTCTCCTGTAGGGCTCTCCCACGGGCAGGCGCGCCCACTCCCATTGGCCGTCAGGGGGCGCTCCAGACCGCGTCTAGCGGCCTCCTTCGCCCGGGGACCGGCGGGCGGAAGCCAGGCCAGAGGTGGAGCGCGGAGACGGGCCAGGCAACTCCCACCCGCGCCGGCCCTAGCACGTCTTTCCGGAAACCCGATCCAGCCCGCGCCAGGCTGCGCTCCGCGGTCAGTCTCCTGCCCTACTGACCTGGGATTGCCAGGGAGCTCTCTGCCCGCTGGGGCACAAAACGGGGCGCTAGCGTCGTCCTTTCCATTTGGCTACCACCCACCCTCTCTCAAACGTATCACCACCACGAGGATGACACTATCACCGCCCTGGCCAGAGGACCAGACCTCATGCCGACGGCAACTGGCCCGTCCCAGCAGCCCTGTATTGTGTCCTCTCTCTGCCCTCCCTGAGTGGGGAAGAGAGAGAAGAGGGTGGGTGGCATCCAGGATCACAGCGCTGCATGGCAGGAGCCTCTGTGTGGGGCCTCCATGGTCTGGGTCAACCTGGGACAGGCCAGCCAGACCTGGGGGAGGGGCAGCCTGGCCCTCCATGCTTCTTGTGACGCCCTGGGCATAAAGAGCACCCACTCACACCTGGGTTCCATCACTCTGGGGTGCTTGATCCACCTTTAGTCCTCTTGGGAAGGGAAGAGGATGTGAAGGTTACCATCCCTCCCAGGCCATAGTGCCAAACTCTGTTTTCTCCTGCTCAGGCTACAGACCATCAAAATATTCATAGTATCTAGTGGATGTCAAATTTGAAAATTAGATGAAGTCCCCAGGTGGCAGCCTGTGGAGTGGGTAGCCAGAGGCAAGTCTCTTACCTTCTCTGAACCCATTTCCTTGTCTGAATACAGGGTCAGCTGGGAGTAGCTCTGAGTGCCTGTTAGGGTGAACTTTGGATCTCAGCATGAGCAACACTACCCATCCTCATGGCCAAAGACAGGTGAGTGCCCTCCAAGCAGAAAGCAACATCCCCCTCTGTCCAGGACGCTTCACATTCAGGGCATGAAGAGGACAGAGAAAACACACTTGTATTGTTTGTGATCATGTCCATACACTTGCAACAACAACAACAAAAAAGGATCGGCAGTGACCACAATTGATCCCAGACTGAGCCAGCCCATTACAGGGGAAAGGGAGAGGATATCTGCTTCCTTCATGTCCTTGAATCCTGTGATCAAGCCCCTCAGGTGTCCCTACTGATTCCATGTTGCTTTCTTCCTTAACTGCAAGCCAGAAAGAAAGGCAGATCTCTTTTCCTCCAAGGCAGAGTGTTAGAAGCATTATCTCAGTAGGCCAATGTCCTGGAAAAGAGGTAGGCTGGCAATGATGGAGCAACTAAAGCGAAAGACTGAGCAGCCTAGAAGCTCCTGGCTGGCTCCTCTGGCCTGTTTGATATTGACTCAAAAGACATGGAATTCATTGGCAAACCTGCCTCCTCCTCCTCCTCTTACCTTTGGAGGAAAGATCGGTTCCTGGTTGGCTGGGGCAGTGTTATTGATACAGCTGGTGTCATCGTTACCTTCCACTGACAGATCACTTGACACCTGCCGGGCCAGGCAGGGCCAGGCCTGGGCATTGCCTGCAGAGCTAGAGGCTTTGACTCTTCCATCATCTGAGAGCCCAGGGGAGGCCACGACCCAGCCTCCTGGGGACCCAACAGAAGGACTAGACTGTTCCAGGTGCTGGATCTCCATTGCAGGTCTTGGCTGCCTCTTTCCTTCCAGCTGCCTGATCCCTCTTGTTGTCCCGAGCAGAGAAGATGAGTTTGTCATTGGCTGGGAGCTATGGCAGAGTGACAATGCTGTCCGGAGAAGGGGCTCTGGGAGTGGCTGTGGCGTGAGGAGCCCGGGGTGAGGACTCGCCTGGGGTGTCCTCGTGGCGTGTGCATCAGGGGTGGCACCATGCTTCAGCAGATTCTGCATGACATGTACATCGACCCTGAGCTCCTCGCTGAGCTCAGCGATGTGCAGAAGCACATCCTCTTCTACAAAATGCGCGAGGAGCAGCTGAGACGCTGGAGGGAGCGTGAGGCTTGGGAGGCCCTGGCCCAGGTTGAGGGCCTCAGGCCCCCCAGGGTCAAGCGAGGTAGGTGGCTGGGAGTAACCAAAGGCCTGGGCCCTGGGCTCCTGGGAGATGGAAAAGTTGGTAATATGAGGCTGTGTTCTTTAAAATATGTACTGATGGGATGAGGGTCAGGGGCTTGAAACCCTTGTTCTGTGAGCATCCTATCCCATTAGCCTGGGCGTCTCTCTTTTATGCAGGGCTCCAAGGCTGCATAGGGGACCGCCTGGGGATCCTGATGGCAGGGACAGGGGGCAGGGTGCAACAAAGACACACCACCCCTCTCTCCCTGGCGAGTGCAGCTCCGTGGTCCCAGCTCCGTGCCCTGTGCCCCTCCTCTCCCTGTCCTTGTGTGAGAGGATGCTTCGGGTTGTGCTGGAGAAACCCTGGGCCTCTGGACCTGCATTAAGAGAGACCAGTCCCAAAGGTAGTAGCAACTGCAGATGAGAAGCAAGCGTTCAATCCACATTTCAGGTGGTTACCATGCAGTGATGTGCCAGTCAAGCCTGTGGACTGGGGCACCTGTGAGCGAGGGCACATCTGGAGCAGGCGGGCTGCTGAGTTGTGCAGGACTTGAGACCCTGCTGGGGAGGGCACTGTATGTGGATGCTGCACTTTGCCATTCACAAAACCCGTTCATCTTCTTTCTCATTGGCTGCCCACAACAGCCCTCCTCTTAGCCTCTATACTGTTGGCCAGAGTGAGGTGTAGCCTTGATCAGTTTGTAAGTTTTCAGTCTGGGACAAGGTTCTGGTTCTCGATAGACATACAGGCCCCTTGGTGGCCTGGCTCCCTCTCTTCACTCCTGGCTCACCATTAGCCCCTGCTATGTGCTGCAGGCCACACCTGTACCCATCTGGCCATCTTGCTCTAGCCTCTCTCTTTACACGCATGATTCTTCTCATGGGGAATGTTCTCCTGCCTTTATCCTCCTTTAGTTCTGGCCCCTGCCTCTTGCAGTCTCTCGGGATGCTCCTGGCACAGAGGTACTTGCTCCTTGGTGACTGCTTGGCCCATCCCTGCCCTAGCACTGGCCTCACTGTCAATGTCTTTGATCCTCTGCTTGCCTGGCTCTCCCAGGGGACTCAAAGCTCCGGGAGTGAGATCATTCTCCATTCCATCTTCCACCCTTGGGTCTAACACAGAGCTGTCACAGAGCGTGAGATCCCCATTTTGAGCAAGACAGAGTAGGACCCCAGGAAGGCAGAGCTATGACTTGGCTGCCTGTGGCTGGTGCCAAGGCTGGGACTGCACTGGCAGCTTCATCACTGCTGGTGAAAAAGACAGGCCACCTTCCTGCCCCACCTGCCCAGAGCCCTGGGGTCGCATGTCATTGATACCGTGACTCTTCTGGGAGGAAGACAGATGCCTAAAGCTTTAACTACAAAAATATTTTTACTATGATTTGTCACACGTTGACATCTACATTTTCGTGCATAAATTATACATTAAGCTCATTTGGGTTTCTGGTGCAGAAGACTCTTTTCCAGATAATTAATTTTCTGATTTATAAAAAATGGAGACGAGAAGGAGTGTGTGTATTCCAGGTCAGGATCCTGCTCAGATCTCAGCTCTTTTCTTCAGTCCCAGAGCTTTCTGGGAAGACCTCGGGGAAGCCCTGGGGGCAGGCTCAGCCCCAGAAGCTGAAGAGCTTCTTAGTATGGGTCTGGGTGCACATTGCCTGCTTCTCATCCTGGAATCTTGATAAAGGGTTGCAACAACCACCGCACCTTGTCTGAGACCTTTAATATTTACCGTGTGCTTGCCCTCACTGAATGCCCCCATAACCTTGTGACCCAGTCTCAGATGAGGAACCCACAGCCCAATCCTCCAAAGTCACCTAACTGCTAAGAATGCAGTCGGGATGAATATCCTGTGACTTTGACCTTGGTCCAGTGACTGATGTTTTTCTATTCATTCACTTCTGAACTCAGTGCTTCTATTCAATGGATGATCTGTGCGTGTATTCATTTGTTCATTCATTCATACCTTTAGCCAGCATCACTAAGCTCTGATCTTGGTGAACTGGACAGAGCTTCAGCTCTTGAATCCATGGATAAACAGATCAGATCCAAGAGAGCATGACAACGGGAGTGTCAGGAGTGAGACTTGGGAAAGAAGCAGCCATGGGGTGGCTCAGGGCAGGGTGTGCAGGCACAGGCTCTATCAGCTGGATATTTTCTCTTCCTTTCTTTCACAGACAATTCCTTCCCAGCTTGTGCCTCCCTCCCTCCAATCTGTCCTAAAGGAAGCACCTGCTGCGTCCTGTTGTGTGTGCCAGCCTCTTGGGATCCCTGAGCACAACTTAGTTCCTGTCAGCCTGGAATGACCTTGCACCTCCTCCTGCCCATTGATCTCCCAAGTCCCATTTGTCCCAGGAGAACTCCATCCCACCCTCTCTCTTCGGAGGACACTTCTCAGCTCCTAGTGGGCCTGATCTCGCTATCCCTAGGACTCAGGCAGGGCAAGGTGCCTCCTGACGCTGAGAACGTCTCTGCTTTCCGCTTGTACCTGCAGAGGGTAGGGATAAACATTTGTGATATGGATTATTCTGGTTACAGAAACTTGGTGGTTGTTCTGGTCCTGGGAGGGTCCACAGAAGTGAGCTGGGCTGAAAGAGGATGGTCATGGCTGGGTGCATCTCACTCCCCTGATCATGCAGGTGTGTCTTTTTGGTTTTATTTGGTACTTTGCTGAGATGCTTCTGCTGTTCTGCCCTGTCGTAGAAGAGACCCTCAGCCTCCGTTGTTTTCACATTTCCTATCGTATTTGCTAGTTTGTCACGTTTCTGGCAAAATTTGATGTCTGATGGAAATTTGTGTTGTTTGTTGAGACTCCGGGAAGGTGTGTTATCACATTACATTCTGCTAGATTTAAGCCACCGCCATCAAGCATGATGGTGACTCTGCAGCTCCTCACATGCGATGTGGGTTCTTGCAGCCTTCACAACCTCCTGGCCCTTTCTGGGGTTTCTTGGGGCTGGAGCTGTGTGTCACCTGGGACACAGGAATCAGGACACATGTTTCTACTGCTGCGGTGACCCAGGCAGGCTCTCCACTTGGTCTTGCTGGTTCTGGCCACGATTGGCAGTCTCTCTCAGTGTTAAATTGGTTTCTCCATGACCATCTTCTTATCTGTCTGGACATCCTCTTCCTGGGGTCCAGACCTCTTCCCCCACTCTCCTTCCTGCTCTCTCCTTTAACGTGGCTGACATTGGCCACACTGCAAGCCAAACCTGCAGCTTCACGGAGGTGCCTTATGCTCACCCACCCAGCCAGCCTTGTGCCTGCCCCTCGGTCCAGCCTATGGAAGACTATAAATCTGGCTGTCCAGCCCCCACAGCTTCCATTCTCCAAGGGTCTAGAGGCAGTTCCCACCTCCTAGGCCCATCTCTTTCTGCCCTGCCATCCTTTGCCACTCCCACAAGCAGCCCTGACCTGGGGCTGGAAGGAGGCACCCGATCCAGCATCCCGTCTCAGCTCTCAACCATTCCCGCTGCGCGTCTGCCCTGGACTTGGTGGCCAGGTAGGCCTGGTCCATGCTCTAATGAAAGCTGTGGGATACGGTCTTTCTCCCTGGGCATCCACCTTGTCTCTGTTTCCTGGGAACCTTCCAGTAACCATGGCAACCTCCCCTGCTGGGCCTGGACCCTCCTAGCCTCGGAGCGTTCCCTTTCCGGGTGTGGGAACCTGTACTAGCCTGCAGACAATCCCAATGCATCCATCTTCTCAGTTGTCCCCCTGCCTCAGGCTCATGCCCTATGACCTTTCTCTGCAGAGCAGGCACAGTGCCCTTTTAACACATTAGACTCAGGGATCTCGCTGCTCCAGTGGCTTCCATTGCACTCAAAGGAACACAATGCTTTTTGAGGGCCTCTGCCCATTCTCCAACCCAGTTTCTACCCCTTTTGTGTCTCTCTGCATGAAATACACTTTTCCCAAATCCTCATGAGCCTGGGTTCTCCCCTTCGTTCATTTCTCAGTTAAATGTTGAGCTCTTCACTGATTCCCTGCTCTCAAGGAGCCCCACCCTTGTCTTATAACATCCAGCCTGACTTCCCTCAAAGCACTTACCTCATCTGAAAGTATCATTTTTTGTGTGTGTGGTAAAATATACACAACATAAAAGTTACTATTTTAACCATTTTAAAGTGTGCAATTCCGTGACATTCAGTACATTTAGAATGTTGTGCAACCACCATTCATGTCATATATCACTCCAGAAGGAAAGCCCATATCCATTACTTGGTCATATCCCATCCTTGCCCCCCACAGCCCCTGGCAAGCACTGATCTGCTTTCTGTCTCTGTGGATTTGCCTTTGTTGTTATCTTCTTCTTTTCTCTCATGTCTGTGTGCTTGTTTACGGTCTGTCTCTTCCATCAGCCTGCACGTGCCATGTCAGCATGGCTGTGACTGCGTCGTGTCCGTTCTAGCAAGTGGAACAAACCTGAGGATTATGGTTGGGGCCGGCTGTGGGCAGGGAGCTGCTGAGACCCTGGTGTGCGTGCTGTGTCAAAGGGCTTGGTTGAGGAGACAGGTATTAAAGGATTTCTCTTTTGAGTAGAAGGCTGTGAGCTGTGGCATTCCCAGGTGACTCCGTGATAAAGAATCTGACTGCCATGCAGGAGACATGGGCTTGATCCCAGGGTTGGGAAGATCCCCAGGGATCAAACCCACACGCCTTGCATTGGAAGGCGGAGTCTTAACCACTGGATGCTGGGTAAGTCCTTCCTTCTCATTTCTTTTTTTAGGATTTTGACTTAGATTTTAGGTTGACTGACTCTGCTCTTTTCCTTTGCATCTGCCTAGTGTTCATTTCCTTGTATATTTTCTTCCCCCCTCCTTTTGATACTATCATTTTTTTAAAGGGAGTCGATTGAAGTGTATATTAAATAGTGTATATTCATTTAAAGCTTTAAAAATATGTACTTGAATCCATTTTATCTTTATCAGGAATGAAATGTTATAGATTGAAGATGAGAAACAAGGATATTTTAATATCCCTCTCCATGGTTTTGTTGGC